TGTTTGTATTGTATGCACGTGATGCAGAGCTTCAACATCATACTGTACCGAAAACATTGTCGCAATTTATAATTAGACAGGTTAAAATGTATTTTTTATATATTTGTCTTAATTAAATCTAAATTACAATAATCTAAATAATAATATCCTAAATAATTATCAAAAAGTAGCAATATTATTCATTATTAATCCATGAACACACTTAATTTGAAAAATAGACAAAAATAAATGTTTTAATGTAATACATTTATCCTAAAATGAATGAATTTTGATAAAATACAATATTAAGAATAAATAATAGCATATTAAAAAACAGTGTACCTGTTTCTTATATTTAGTGAAAATCTGATGCTGTTGGTGCAGAAATGCAAACCGACAGGTGATTCATGTCAGTAATCAATCATCAACACTTGAAAATGAACGGCTTAATGTGCATCAGACGACGCCCGACACGAGTCTGTGAGCGGTTTAAAAAGTTTCGCCTGGTGACGACACTATGAGGAGACAAAGCGAAGTCACAGTCGGTTAGTTTCACCTGTACAGGAGGGAAAACAGGCCTCCTCCCTCCTGCTGCATCATGCCTTTACATGACTGTATCTGCAGGCTGTGTGTGTTCAGCTCCCACAAAAAGCACTCACAATGGAGGATGCCCCGTCGCACAAGACACTCTTTGTGTGCAACTATCTGCATGTGTGTGTGCGCGCGCGAGCAGGACACATCATCGGCTACATCATCAGCCGTCAGCATTTTAAAATGTCCACCACCACAGAAGAAGAAGAACCAAAGCTTTGACACAGCGAGACACTTCTTTGTTGTCGTTTTGTGAACGAACCAGCGCTGCGGTCTGGAAAGTCGGAGGGTGAAAGGAGAGTGTGGAGGGTCACGCACGCACACACAGAGCATCCTTTCCTGTTGCCGCCACACAAAGGTTCAACCTGACAAACACTTTTTAGCAGCTAAGCTAACCCGAGGAATTCAGATACGGCATGCACTTTGATGTTTTGATTAATGCCCCCCTCCTCCCTCCCACACACCCAGCATACATCTCCTTTTGAAATCGCTGCTCCACGAGACGAGGAGTCGAGGAGTGGAAGGGCGAGTTAAGAAGTGCCTCTCCGTGAGAGAGAGAGAGGGAGATCCGCGCCTGTCGCCGAGGGCCCAGCTCGGCCTCAGTGTTGAATTTCGTAATGGAATGCTAACTGCTCATCCGGATCTCTGCTCCTCCTCCTCCTCCTCCTCCTCCTCCTCCTGCTGCTGCTGCTCCTCTGTCAGGAGGAGGAGAGGACCAAAGACGGCAGGAATATATGTAGTTTATCATCTTAGAAAAATACTTCATCTGCAAACACTCAAAAGCATCCAACAGGCTGCAGGAGCTCCATCTCATAGCCACAAACTGACACGAAAATTAACTTTTCCTAAAGGAATACTACTTAAAGATGCTATGAAGTAGGACAAAGTCAATAAAAGTTCTATACTGTGAGTAATACACACACTGAAGTCACACCACAGGAGGTAAAAACCCAATAAATGCTCTTTAAACATTCTCCTGAAGCCAAATGAGTGTTTTAGCAACAACTTTGTGGTTAAAAATGCATTTAAATTCACCATGAAGTGCAAGAAAGTCGCAATAAATCTGCTGTTTGTTGCTACAAAACAAGCAATAAGTTCTTAGGTGCACTACATAGCTTGAAAATAGGCTAAAACGCTGTGTGATAAAGTCAAAATAAACTCACTACTGAGAGCAACAAACAAGAGAAACAACAGAAAATAAAGACACTTTAAATACCCGGAGAACAACTACAGGATCACCGCAGGGTTTGAGGTTGTTATGAAGTGCCTCAAACTAACAATAGAGTCCTCAAAATGCACTAAAATGTCAAAAAGATGCCCTGAAAGTCACTACAGAAGTGCTATCTGAATTCTTGACAAAAAGTACCTTAAAGCACCATCAAAAAGTACTACACACTACTGGCGGCCACAAACTCTTCATATAGGGATTCTGGTGAAAGACTAGAGCAGTTTACCATGCCAGGAAGTCAGTATACTGTCACTGCTGTGCACAACAGAGGCACTGAAGTCACTAAGATTATTACAGAAAGACTCCCAACAAACATCTGCCATTGAGTCCTACAACCACATATTCACCACATGAAGCTACAAACACAAACAATCTCTTGTTGGCAAAAACATGTAAATACATATATTTAAATTATAAATATATAAAAAAATAGAAATAAGTTCACCATAAAGCTTTTATATAGGATGGTTTTGGAAGCAAGACGTATGGAATCTTTAAGTGGGATCAAGTCACAATGTTTTTCCCAAAATGCACTAAAAGCCCCTGTTTTAATGTTATACAATAAAATAATAAGAGTCACAAAGTGTGCTAATTCAGCTAAAACTCACTTTTAACTACCATAAACACACTTCAAACCTCCACACATGCATCCTGTAGGCCTCAAAACACACTATAAAGTTGGATGAGGTTTCTATAAACTCTCTATTTATTACTAAAAATGCACTAAAGGCCCCTTTTTTAAATTAACAGAATGAAATACTAAGAGTCAAGTCCTAATTTAGCTAAAGCTCACTTCTAACTGCCATATAAGCATTTCAAACCCCTACACATGGATAGTGTAGGGATCAAACACCACATGAAGGTGCATAACCTCACTATTTATTAATAAAAATGCACTTATAGCCCTTGTTTTAATATTACACAACAAAATAATAAGAGTAAAGAGTCAAAGTGTGCTAACTTACCAAAAAAACTCACTTCTAACTGCCATTAAGTCACTTTAAACCCCTACATATTGACACTGTAGGGCACAACCACCCCATAAAGTTGGACAAACTCACTATTTATTACTACAAATTTAGCTAAAACCTCACTTCTAACTGCCATTAACACACTTCAAACGTCTACACATGGACACTGTAGAGTTTAAACACACCACAATGTGGTTTTTATTACTAAAAATGCACTAAATACCCATATTTTAATATTATGGAAGAAAATAATAAGAGTGAAAAGTCATATTGTGTGCTAATCTAGCTAAACACTCACTTCTAACTGCCATTAACACACTTCAAACCTCTACATATGGACACTGTAGAGCTTAAACACACTATAAAGTTAGATAAATCTTTTATAAACTCACTCTTTATTACTAAAAACGCTCTAAAAGCCAAAAACATGGGCAAAGTTTAGTGTTTCCCTTCTTAAAAGTTAAAGTCCCACAGCAGGGAGGTAGAGAGAGGTGCAGGGACACGGGAGAGAGAGAGAAAATCCCTAGCAACCATTATCTAACCCGTTCAGCCCTGAGACAGAGAGCAGAAACACTCGTCGTGTCTTCTCCCAGAGGAATCAAACCCCGTCCATCAATCATTGACCCGGACACCTGATAACAAAGTCTCTCTGCGACACAGTAAAACCACATTATTGTTTTTATAACTGCCAGCATCATCCTCCGTTTAGCAACACGGAAAGCGCCGACGACGAGGCCAACGGCCGTAACGACCGCCGAAACGCGACCAAAGTCGACGGTTTGAGGCCAAACTCGCCTTCGAGTGTGACACTAAGCCCCGAGTTAACGTTTAAAATGGAAGTTAAAGCTGCGGATGATGTCGAAAGAGAGAAAAGAGAGACTAGAGGAGGAGGTGGGGGGAAGGAGGAGGATGCAACAGGCGTCACGTCGATGCTGCTGCTGCTGCTGCTGCTGCTGCTGGCAGCGCGTAACCGGAGACGGAGGAGAAAAGTGTCCGAAACGCGGCGAAAAGTGGCCAAACAGCGAGAGAAGCTGACGAACACGGGGCAGCGCGGCGGCGGAGGACGCCTCGCTGCCGTGTTGGTGCACTTTGTAAATGAACAAGAGTCGGATTCGTGCTAAATATGTCTGGGCAAGGTCACGGCAGCGGTGTAGAGTTAGCCGCTGTTAGCTAGAATGCGACCGGAAGTGGGGCGGCTCGCCCTTCAAACTAACTTAAAGATTAAAGCACGTTTTCATCTTTATTACAGTTTCCAGCAACATAAAGTTACACAGAGTCACTAAATAAGACACGCGTCTGTTTGTTTTTAGGATGACTTTGTGACATTAACCTTTCTTGGTGCATTTACATTAGTGTTTATCCTTGTGCACTGCCCCCCCCCCCCACACCCCCCTCTTCTGTTGTTAAATTGACCAATAAGTAACTCATTGATCGTTTCAGAACAGCCAGTATGAAAATGCAGTGACGCTAGTGAGAAAACCACAAATGACTCATCACAAGAGAAAAAAAACATCCACCAAACCAAGTGAAACTTTCTGTATCAGGAGCATCACTTTCTCACAAAATACTTGTATAAATTTCGACCACAGCAAGATAAAGCTTCCATAAAAGACAGCAGATTAATTCAAATAAAAATCACATTCACCACAGCTCATCCTGCTAATTTGTCCTCCGCTAATCGTTCATCAACAGGTGGTTTTACTTTGAAGGCGCAGAGAGGAAGCGCCGCCGCTAGCTGCTGCTAGCTTGCTGGTGGTGTCTGGTAGCTTTACACATGGCCACTAGCAGCGAGGCTCCGACCAAAGTGCACCCGAGATATGGATGCTCGACTCCGGCAGCGAGCAGACTTTGAACCCCCTCCTGCCACCCTCCCCGCGGGGCAAAACCACCACATAACACCCCGAAACGTGCACACTGGTGATAAAGTTGCACTTAAAGTCAAAAAAACAAGCAAGTTTAGGCTAATTAGCTGAAGTAGGGTGAATGAGGAAGAGACCTGGGCTTGAATTCCACCGCTTGGATGCGCATCAAACTAGGAAGCAGCACGGAGAGGAGAGAAAAAAAACTATTATCCCTCCGCTGCCGTCTCCACATCTCAGCTTAAACTTTACTGTAACAGCCGCAACAAGTCCAAACTTTCCCCCAAACATGTCAAACATCGATCCGAGCGAGCGCACGGAGCCAGAAAAGCACCAAAACACAACGATGGAGAGGGTAAAAAACAGACTTACGCTTGACTTTGTTGGGGTTGGGCTGCTTGCGCCGAGACATCGTGGCGAGGATGATGATGGTGGTGGTGGGGGTGATGATGATGATGATGATGAACGGCGGTGATGGTGGATGATAAAGGGGATGAAGAGAGTAACAAAATAAAAAAAAAGAAAAAGGAGAGAGAGGCTGCAAACTTGCTCCGGAGAGGAGAGGAATCAAAATGGCGTTTCCGAAGGGATGTGCAAACTTGGACAAACTTTACTCCGGCTTCTCCTCCTCCCCTCCTCCCTCCCTCCCTCCTCCTCCCCTTCTCCCTCCTCCACCTCTTCTTCTGCTTCTCTTCCTCTCTCCTCTCCCGGAGGAGAAGAAGTAAAACACTCGCGGAAAAGCAGTCGTCGAGAGGGAAATGTTGGTTAAAGTTGTATTTTGTTTTGATTCCTCCGGGACTCCTGACTGCGTCCTCTCGCTCTCTCTCTCTCCCTCGCTCTCTCAGCGTGTCTCTCTCCCTCTAAACCTGATAAGTAAAGCTCATCACGTGTTGTCTCGCAGTCTCCAAGGGGACGTGGCCACCAAGCATCTCTCTCTTTACGCACACTCGGAGACGCGTTAAGGATTACTTCTCCTCCCCGGTAACGAGCCTCTAACACGACGGGGGAAGACGTAATCCCACTTTGTTGATCATTTTAACAAAAAAAACAAACAAACATTAGGCAACACGTAACTATTTCCGCTTTAATCCGGGTTTCACGTCTCCTCCTCTTGTCTGAACATGTGCAGGAGTTAAAATGTAACTTTACGCACGTTCAGCCTCATTTACATCCACGTTATCACACGAAATATTACCTTTAAAAGTCGATTTCTACAACTTTAACTCCTCACATCACTTTTCTCCTAACAAACAAACAAAAAAAAGTCACTACCCCTCCGCTCAGCTGGTTTAATTCAGCACAAACCCCGCGCTGCAAACGTTTGTTTTATCGCTGACGCTGAGTTTAAGGTAGTAAAAGATAAGAAACCCATCCGCGCTGCCACACACTCCTGCGGAGGCAGCTCCAGCGAGCTATCGCGAGGTTTGAGGGACGGAGAAGCGGTGATACGAGTGAGATATCGCGGGATTTGGGGAGTAGAGAGAGGATGCCAACCGTCAGCCTTTGAGGGGGAGGGGGGGAGCTGGAGGAAACTGCTCCTGTTTCTAGGGAGGTTTAGTAAAAGTTTTTCTGTGGGATCCTCAGTCTAAAGTTTTATGTCTTAGTTACTGAAAAACAACGTATTTCCGGTCTGATATATTAAGGAAAAACTTTATGTTTATAAAATGTTCCCTTTAAAAAAGTGTTACATTTATATATATACCCGCTGACAGGTCATGTTTGTCCTTGTTACACAATCATTAAAAATAATCCTTTATTTATATATAGCCCACATATATAAAATGTTCATACAAGTAATTTATTCATTTCGTTCTTTGTACTTTTTCTTTCGTTATTTGCTGCTGTAAGATGTTGAAACTGTTCCTGTTTCAGGGGAGGTGTTGGTGAAGGGAGGACCTCAGTTAGTAATCACTGAGTGTTTTATCCCCCCAGAAAATGAGAGTTAAACTTTAAGGTGCTGAGGATCTGGGATCCAAAAAGAAAGTTTATAGTTTTATGTCTAAATTACTCTAAAACAACATATTTCCTGTTTGATACAATTAGGAAAATACTGGGAAACACACAAAAAGGCCCTTTTAATCATGTATTTTAAATTAATTATTTAAAAAAGTTTTAGATTCCTAAAAGGAAGCCTTATTCATATGTTTATATACCAGCTGACAGCTTATATTTGTCCTTGTTTCATGCATACAGTCTTTAAAAGTCTTCCTTTATTTATTTAGATATGTATTAATAGCCTACATATATAAAATGTTATGTATAAAACGTTTAAAAATAGTAACTCCATGTACGTTTATACATTTCCTTGTTCATTCATTTACATTTTTATAAAGAAAATGTTGTTATTTGTAGCTATAAGATGTGTTTTTTTTTTAAAGTTATGTGAAATTAAATCTTACCGCATAAAATAAAAAGTTAGAAGTTACTCAAATTTAAACTTAGCACACTGTCTGACCAGCAGCTTTCCACCATTTGCAGGCAGTGATGAGGATGTGTGTGAGGATATAAATAACTCCGCAGCAGCAGCAGCAGCAGCAGCAGCAGCAGCTCTCTGCTCGCAGCTCGGACTTAAACTGCAGGCCGTGAAGCTGGAAACTAAATTTAAACCCGCCCGGGTTCCTCTCACTCTCCCCACATTCCTGCCAGCCTTCCATCTCCAGATACAGACCCCTCCTCCCATCATCCCCTGCTGGAGAGAGGAGCGCTCAGGCATCTCTCCTCCCATCACACCCTCCTCCCCCTCCTCCTCCTCCCCTGCAGGCGGCTGCAGCAGAGCAGGAAGAGTCTCCCGGGCTGGTTGGGCCTGTTGCTGATGAAGGAGAGGGAGGGAGGAGGGGCTCATGGGACGCCTGGGTGTTACCAGGACTTTGTGGCTTAAATGCTTTAGAAAGTGCATTGAGTTTGGTTTAGGAGGCTTTTACAAGTAAAAGACTGTTGTGCTGCTTGCGTGGCTTAAAACTACAGTTTGTGGTTTTAGCAGGAGGGAAATGCTGGCACTATTTATTGTTTATTAAACATCTGTGTATCCATCCGCCCAGCCCAGAACTTGTGATCCACAGCGGTGGTTTCCAGTCCGTGAGCACAGGCTTTGGGTTTGGTTTGATACCAAAACCCATAAAACTCACAGTTACAACGAGACTTCACACGTACCTGCCTGCGTACCGATTAAACAAACAAGACACAGCATGTTTATCACAGAGGTGGTGCTGAACTTTGGACACAGCCTGGCTAGCTGTCCGCCCCTGCTTCCAGTCTTTATGCTAAGCTAGGCTAATCACGTCCTGACTCTGTGTTTAACACACAGACACGAGACTGATATCCATCTGTGATAATCAATGTAGGGACAGCAGAAACACAGTTAGTGTATGTGTTTGTACAGGAGTGCAAACACAGACATCTTGAATGCAGTACTTCAGCTTGTAACCGAGTATTTGTACTGCTACTTTTACTACAGTAAAAATACTTCTTCACTGCAGCTTTAAACCTCCCGGCGTGACGAGAAGGATCTGATAGAGAAGCAGAAACAGATCTGTGTGTACTGTTGACATATGAAATACAGGCGAGGGAGCTGCAGGAGCCTCCACTTCATTATGGACACACACACACACACACACACACACACACACACACACAGAGCCAGAAAAGCAGCTAACGGCATTACATCACTAATCCAATCACTGCTTTTCACCCCTCAACTGGCCACTTTTCAATTCAAATTAATCTATTGAGATACAAAGAGCCCATCACACACACACACACACTCACACACACACACACACACACACACACACACACTCATTATTCACCAACATTAACATGAGCAGCTTACTTAAAGTTTCTGATGTGGAGCAGCTGAACTGGTTTAAGGAGCGTCTGACATCATGTGATGGATCAGCGACACATCATGTTCCTCATTATAGTATTACAGATTATTATTTATTACATTACTTTTAAAGTTTATCATGCAGGTTTTTAGTCACGCTAGCACGGCGATCGTCCACCGCTTTGGTAGAGATCATCCAGGCGTTCACGCTCCCCAGAGGACGAACTGCAGTAACTCTGGTGGTCAAAAGCCAAAAGATCAGTGAGTCCAGTTCTTTGGTTTATGATCATAAACCTACAGAACTAATGGCGTTCCCATTAGCCTCAGTTGTACTTTACTGCTAATTAGCTCATTTTAGCACATTAAGGTAGGGGATGGCGCAATGGATAAGACTAAGCTTTTGGTGTGAGAGACCCAGGTTCAATCCCCCATGGTGACCCATCCTCCACTGTGTCCCTGAGTAAGACACTTAACCCCTAGTTGCTTTGGATAAAAGTGTCAGCTAAATGAATGAATGTAAATGTAATGTGTTAACACGCTAAACTAAGACAGTGGTGAACATTGTCTGTGCCCAAATGTTCTTTAATCACTGGAGGTGAAACTGTTGGACACAGTAGGAATAAACCTTATTCAACAGTACATTTTTCATTTCCAACTAGGAAAACAATCTAATAAAGAAGCAACACAAAAGAGGCTAGCGGTTCGATAAGTGTGCAATCGCAGATTTGGGTTTAGGCACACACCCCTGTGATGGTTAGGGTAAGGGTTAGGGGCTTTGGGAAGCTGTCAACGCCTTTATACTAATGTAGCTACTAGCATTTTCGGTCTAGACAAGGCGTCATAATTTTTATCAATCACCCGAGCTGTGAAATAAAATATTTTATAAGCTGCATTTCATAGTTTTGCTCTCTGTTGAGACTGACGTTTGATTATCACCTGGAAACTATTGTATAACCATAAAATGGGGAATCTCTTTAGTTTGGTTTTAAACCAAAATTAAAATAAAATACTGTAATCTGTCTTTTATATGTATTTAATTTTTTTGCCAGAAGCCTAAATGTTGTGAGCAAACATGAAAACTTTTCTAAAAGCTTGTTCTGCTTGGTGTTACATGTTGTTGATCAAAAGGGTTTGCGTTAACTCGTCCATTATCAAACGAGCTCATTCCTAATCTGCTGAGAACTAAGAGTGTCCGTCTGTTATATTAAAATAACTGCACTGCTCATTTCATCAGGCACCAGAGGGACTTCACCTCAGGTTGAAACAGACGAGCTACAAATACAGCTCGTGTTTAAACTACGATACTCTGCGTTTAAAACCAGGGGGTTTTGATGCATCAGGGCACAAAAGAAAAAGAAAAAGTTTATCTCTCTTTTTTACATCCCGGCCTGAAAACACCAGAGACGCAGAGGAGAGAGTGTGATGTTATTTATTGGACTGTAACCATGGAGCCGTTGCTGAGGAACGAACCATCGCTAACAAAAGGGTGGATTCATCCATTCATCCAGCGAAGAGCAGGAGGAGGAGGAGGAGGAGGAGGAGAGGCATCCCCAAACTCAGCCGACCAGAGTCTCCACCGGCCGGAGAAAGAAAGGAGATCTGAGCTGGAGGGTTTCCCAACGCAAAGCAAGTACGAGTTGACACAATTGTTGTTGATGAAACTTTACACACCCCTCCTCCTCCTCCCCCTCCTCCTCCTCCTCCTCTTTCTTCATTGGAGCGCTGTCCGGACAGGCAGGCAGGCAGGCAGTCACATGAAGCCAACACCTGTCGGCAGTGTGGGGGGATGACGAGCTCATGCTGCTCTGCCTCACTGTTTCCCAACCAGCTTCAACCAGACGTCTTCTTCTCTCCTGCCTCGCTGCAGCCCCTGTTTTCTTTTCCCCCCCGAACATGTTTAAAATCTGCAGCTCAGACGCTAAGAGTGCTTTGCAGCGGCAGCAGAGGAGTGAGGATGGTGGTGTGGGGGAGAAGAGAAGGAGGGAGGGAGGGAGCGAGGGAGGAGGGGGTGAAAAACCGGTTTCCAATAGTGACGGATGATTTGTAGGTAACAGTTGTTTGCCTTGCAGCCTGAGGCCTGCCCAGCGCTCAGACACAGTTTCAGGACTGAAAAGCTGTTGACAGGCTGAAAATTAGAGTTCAGCCCTGAAGCCTGTTTGTCGCTGCAGCTTTTTTTTCTTTCTCACTGGCAGGATGCAAAAAGTAAAACACATTAAAGTCTGTAACAAAGATGTTTTCTGTCCTCCTCCGTGGGGCAGAGGCACATCGCTGAGAGCAGTGACTGGCTGTCAGAAAGGAGGCAGGAAGTGCTGTGTCTGCCATCTTTGTAGTTTCACACATTCCGATCCCTGAACTCATCGTGACACAGTTTTAATGCTGCGTTCACGTCACAGGAGAGAGTCTGGCTGTCGCCGCTGGCCGCAGAGAAACACTACATTGCATTACATTTGGAGTTATTTGTCTTGAACCGGTG